GTAAATATTGTGCGACTGGTTTAAATTATGATCAAAATAATGCAAATTTTGTTTAGAATTATGTTGTGCAATTCTTGCACTGTAAAGTTGAAAGAAGCTGTAGTTAATGGATAGAAAATGATTTTATCGAGTTTGTGCTATGCAGAAGAGAGAACTTGAAAGAAAAGCTTTAAAACACTTGCTAGATATAATATTAATAAAGCATCACAACGATTAAATATCAATATACATAAAATAAATTCGAAAAAATGAAAAAAAAAACTCATTAATTGCTAAAAAATAATAATAGATACTTCACTTCACCAATAAATGTTTATGATAATATCACAAGATTTTTTTTTTTGCTCAATAAATGAATCTCGGTGCATTTTGGAATAAAATGTTTTGTATTTAAATTCATGGTCATCCGAACTATAGCTCCAAAATAGTTATTGTTAAAATGAATATCTTAAAAATACAACTCTAATAACACTACAAGTAATCTAATCCCATTTCATATAAACTTTAGATCAGAAGATTCGGTGCTTCTACTGAGACAGGCAAAATGATTTCAAAATTTCGCATTAATTGTCATGATCTCAAAATCATATATAAAATCAAATTGTGCCTCACGTCGTTAAAAATGATGCAAGGTTTTGGTTAAACAAAAATTGAAAAATGAAATCGAACAAGAAAAATATAGGCCAAGCAATTAAAGAAAAAATGCGAACCAGTTTCTATCATCACTAACCGATGAAATAAAGCGGAAAATTTGACCCAATTGATTGGGCCCAGGCAAGCCTCTTTTCACAAAACAACAAAACAATACCGCCACAGGAGTGCCTGCAAAAACAGCTACCTTGTATATATGGTCTAACATCAAAACAGCTAAAAAACTAAAACGTGGCTACGTACACAGAAAATTAAGCAGGGAAACTAAAGAGGCAATGGGATCTTTCCTAACAAAAGAACATTGAGCTCCGAACATTCTCATGTAGACGCGGTAGTTCAGGAACAGGCACAACACCAGGGGCAGTGAAACCCCCTTGACTTGAAGAGGTTTCAGACCTGTCCTCGAACTTGGTGAACTGGCCAATTTGTGCAGCAGCAAGATGGGCATAACATATGGGCGCCACTGAAATAAAATGTACAGAAGTATATAAAATTAATCATCAGCTATAGTTCATATTATTGATATTGTTATATTTAACATTCATAGAGATATTTCATATATGACAGTATCTTTATGAAAGATGGTCGACCAGCATAACATCTTTTCAAGATAACATGCTACAATATAGTAAGATATGCCAAAACAATTTCAAAACTAATTTGGGTGTGCTTGAATATATATATAGTGCCCCTTGATGGGATGGCATTGACAGAACTTTACAAAGAGTTCATAGAGCAGGTGAATTAAAATACAAGTTAATGCAATGGCCAGCTTTTGAGCACGAGTTGGAATAAAAAAAACTGATAGGAAGTAAATAAGCATATATAAACAGAAATATGGCAAGCGGTAGCCATAAAATCTGATCGTCGCTAATTACCAGGCAACACAAACAATTAATTTGTGTATCACGTCAAATGTAAGCGCATGAGAAAGACTCGTTAAATTTGGATGGAAGATCAACATACATACAACTCAATCCACCTATATTTATATATCTCACCTACAATTTTTACCTATATGTCACCTTATCTATAATACATGAAAGGGTGGTTTCACTTTTTAGAAGTTAAAATAGAGGTATTTTTATGAGATGAAATATTTGAGCGGTATAAACCTAAATAATAAAGTTTAGCTGTTAGATTTGTAAATACATAGAAATTGGGCTGTATGTATGTAAATACCACATCTCTAAAACACATCAGTTTTACTACCAACAAAAAATCAAACATTAAACGAGTTATAAGAGTTCTAGTAGTTTGTGAAAAACTGAGAAAAAAACTGCCCTGGCATATATGTTTATAATGCACAACAAAAAAAAAAGCCTGAAGTTTGACAGTCAAAAAGCTATTGCAAATTCAAATTCCAACCAACTAAACCTAAAATAACCATATTAACATTTGTAGAGCACAATTTTATTGAAAAGCTTAGGGGTGGTCAATTTGGAGTTTACAATTCAGGTTTGGGTCTGGCCCAAAGTCAACCCAAACTGAACTAATACTACCCGAACCCAATAAATTGGACCCTCCGAACCTTACTTTCAACCCAACTAAACAAACCAAACACAGAAATTTAACACGAGATATTACGATCATTCGGATCAACATGGGTAAAATATGATCAAGTTCAAGTTACATTTGGGCTAACCTGAACCCAAACAGGACCCCAAAATTAAACTGGCCAAATTTCTTCAGGTGAGGTTTTAAAGTCGGGTGACATAACATGAAACTGAAACTATTACAAAAAATACACAATTGTTTGATGTGAAAGTACAAGGGAAGTCCTGTAAAAGCTTTGGGCCACAACTATTACAAAAAATACACAATTGATTGATGTAAAAGTACAAGGGAAGTCCTGTAAAAGCTTTGGGCCATTTATTTGAAGTTTATGATTTAAAAACTTTGTATAGAAATAAAATTTTATCATTTCTCTGCAATGAGTAAATTAAGAGAAGTAATAGATATTTGTATGATCATCTTCATTCCCAAATGAGGGGATAAACTAAAAAACAGAAAATGAAGCAACAAATTTAAAAAAGGACAAAATAAGGGGGTAAACTTAAAAAAGGAAAATGAAGCAACAAATTTAAAACAGGACAAAATGGGCATAGTCTGGACACACAAGATCAGGTATGCGCAACACACAGGTTACAGTAAGTGATGAAAAAACTGGAATCAGAAATAATAAAATACTTCGTTCTAAAAAATAAGGCTAAAAAAAGCCACTGACAGACCCATATGAAGAAACCTACCCACAGATATTGCTGTTGTGCTCCTTTGATATCTGACATTGTCATCATAAAAAACCAAATTTAGAGTGGCGTTGGAATTTATATTTGAATACAATACTACAACATGAACTAACACAACTTACACATAGGAGAGTGAATGGACAAGCTCCTGTAGATCATCAGGACTGAAACCATTTTCATCAAGCAAGACATGATAGTGGGTTGGTCTGCTTGTACCCTTGAGAATTAAAGGGAGAAAAAACAAACTAATTACCATATTCAGTCTAATACTAGAATATAAAATTAGTATAATGAACATGACAATTGAATCCTAATTTATGCAGCAAAATTCAGATAAGAGGTCAAACTTAAACTAATCACCAATACACAAAATAAAGAGAAAAATTAAAACAGCAATAAACTAAGAGTTCCAAAGCTCTTACAATCATTCCCGCATGGGAGCACATGTAGAAGTCATAATTTTTTGGATGGCAAACTTGATTGTCGACCACAGTCCCTACAGAGCGTGCAGGGTCATTCTCAAGCCAACCGGAAACGGCAGTAAAATAAACTTTTCAGCTATTATTATGATTCAGACAATAAAATAAGATGTACCAGGAGGAACATTGTCCGGAGAACCTCCAGCCTGAAAAAATTTTGTATGATGATTCTTCTGTGCAATCATCAAGGTGAACTTTGGGCACCACTGCTCATCAAGAAACTTGCAAGCCTACAATCATGAAAAGCCCTGCTCAATAAAGGTGGATAGAACTTCCAGCGTGAATTTTTTTTTCATGGCTATGAAAATTTTTTACTGTTAACAAGCTCACCTCAATAATTTTATCCAACTCAATGTTCAGAACCTGGTTGAATTGAGATTCACTTACTCCATCCCTACTCAATGTGTAACAAAAAGTATAAAAATGATTCTCAAGGCATTGAACCAAAATAAAATTTCAGATATTGTGAGCAAAAATAAAAAGAAAAAATAAGAACATCAAACATAAAATATTAATTTACCTGAAAATAATGATTTGATCTGGCTTTTTCTTCCCAGAACTGGTGTAAAAATCAAGAAGTAGCTCCCTGGATTTTAAACCACGTGAATTCACAGGCGTTAAAAGGTAATAAAAAAAATGCAATCTTTTTACCATAAAGGAAGGAAACAAGCTTCAATAAAGAATGATAAAAAAATACTTACCTGATTATGCCATCATCTTCGTTTTTTTCGGATGGCTTAAATAAAGAATCAATCATTTCTACCTTCGAAGACTGCGTCCTTACTGATGCTCTATACTTCGAAATCAGTGGCCACTGCCTTGAACTAACAACCTATCATGATAGGTGACAAAAAGAGGAAGATGAATATCAGTGTGGGGAAGCAAAGGTCAGAAATTAGCTGCTAAGTAGAACAAAAATATTAAAGATTACTCAATTTTCTAACTGTAAACTCCAACAACATTTTGTAGAGCAAACGCACAAGATTATCAGAGCAAATGACTTGATAACTTTGAGTTTAAGAAATTACTGCTGCAATTGAAGGCACGTCAGACCGTCCAGGAGAGCCATGGCAAACATCCATTCCCAATATAATTGTAGCAGCCCTTGAGATAATTGGATTAGCCGATGTATTTTCAATTTGCAGCAGTGAGTTCAAGCCGCCAAGCTGAAAATTGAAGAAAAAATAAAAACTAATTGACAAAAAAGACCAAACAAGAACAAACGGACAAAATAAAAGAAATAGCCAAAAGGCCCACCTTAGCATTGATTTTTAACAAGACATTTGTCAAATACTGGTCATTGACTCTCATCGGTGCAATGCATTGTGTTACAATTCCAAACTCCGAAAGGCACTTGAGCTTCCAAGGCCCTAACAATTAGAAAATGTTCTCCGTCAAATAATTGTATAATGGAAAGCTCCATAAAAGTTTAAATGATTTAGGAGGACCAAACCATAAAGGTCAGAATTTTTCCTCTCAGGTAAAAGGCAAAGAAGAAACTTTGGAACCCCGGGAAGTTTAGTTCGAATTTGCTCGAACATCTCATCAACCCTTGCAGGAGGAGTGGCCCTTCTCACAGAAGGATTTTCTTCAAAAACGTCAAATGGCTGTTCAACAAGCTGTCAAAACAATAGAAAAAAAATGAACAAGGTTCTTTGCAAACTGATTAGCACAATCTATGTTAGCTATCAAGTAATGGATCGACAATATGAATAGAAATATGCAAATAACAATTAGAAAACATACAACTCCTTTCATGTTCCCACATTTGATTAGGTCCCTTATGAGAGAGCTAATGTCACATCGGGCAGAAAAGTTGACAACAGCCCATCGCTCTACTTTGGCAGGTTGCATCAATTTCTGGTGAGGGATGTAAAATCTTGAGAAAGAAGAGAGTTGGGCTACAAACAATAAAGAATTACAGTATATTATGTGTGCATAAGAAAACCTTATTATTGAAATTCCATCGACCATTTCTAGGAAAAAAATCTTCACCATTGCCAACCTTCAACTATAGAAAAGAAAAACATTACAATTCTTAAGAAAGAAATGAATTGTATTTAAGTTGATATAAATTATTAAGAAAAAAACAGTACAAATATGAATGAATGCGCAAACCTTGGGGGCCGGCAACACACGACCATCAACTTGTGTAAAGTTGGTGTTGATAGAAATTCCACATGCTTGCAGCATAGGATCAGCATCATAATTGCTGTATTTCAAAGCCTGTAAGAAAAAAAAAAGTCGCTAAATGTATGTAATGAGCAAGGAGAACTAGCATTCACAGCTCTTTAAAACCCACATTACTTAACGATGACATCCGCTCCTGCGGCTTTTGCCTTGATTTTTCAACAAGAGATGCCCGCTGAAGGACTGTCAGTGCCTTAGTGTATCTTTGCAGAGAGACCAAATTGCAAAGCTAGTGCATCAAACAAATGATTTTTTTTAATTCTTTAGAAATGCAAGAACAGATTGTGTAACAAAAGGATTACTAAATAAAATTATTACTAGAAAAAAGATTCAAAGATAAGTAAGAAAGAGAATGCAACTAATGAAAGGGAAAAAAAACCTCAATTGGGAAGTATGTGGGTCGCTTCGGCTTTCCAACATTAATGCAAGGGAGTCTGCCAGAATAATTTAAGGGAATCCCGCGATGTGATACAAAATAATCATATACAGTTATCTCCAAAGCATTGTCCCCACTGTCACCTCGCTGCCTGAGAGTAAACCTAAGAGCAAATTTTAATTGGTTAAATATCTGTTGAATGTCCCAATAAAACATCTAAAAAATAACAAGTTAAAGACAAAAAAGGTAAATTTGCTACTTGTAAATCAATATTACTGCTGAAGGTACTTTTAATATGAATAGAAGATTGGCATGTCACACTCCAATTTTAAAACAAAATAGCAAATGCCAATCTACTAACTTGTATCGATCTGTTGATTTGCACAGAAAAATAAAAAATCATAGATATAAGTGCAAAACCTAAACTCTTAAGAGTAATATAATCTATAACTTATAGCATTATTAAGGCCATCTTACATGAACTAATGTTAAAAAAGAAAACATACATCTGCTGGTCACATGGCAAATCACTCAAACCAACAATTTTGTATTCCAAATTTCCAACCTTAACACGCAAATTTTTTAGCATCCTCTTTGCCTGCAAGCAAAACAAGCAGAAGTTCCACCAATATTTGCACTTCATAATCACATGAATAACTCACATATTAATAATATTAACAAAAACACTATACCAAACAAAGAAATAACAATAATCTTCACTTACTTTTGCCCAGTCAATTTGGAACGGATCCCTCACATTTTGATTCGCAATAAGGAAATCAACAACAGGACCCGGTCTGACAGTCATCGTAGTAGATACATCTGCAAAACATAGTGGAATCATAAACCATGAAAATTTATTCATGAATTAGAAAATGAAATGCAGCACTGACCCCCCGTGCCCAGCAAGGTAGAAGCATACCAACATTCAGGGAAAGGCCTCCTTTAACAGGCCTAAAACTTGAATGAAATCCCCTACATCCAAATACACCACCTCCCAAATCTGAATAGTTCGATTGCTTATCATGAAAAAATGATTGGCGCACAAGGAGACAACCCCTACATGAAATTTTTTACAAACTAGATTAACAATCAATTTCATCAATCCAAAGAAAATTCAAGGTAAATGAGCAATGAAATTTGTATGTGTACTGCTTCGCAGCATGTTGTCGCAAAATGATATCAAGCACCCGCAACGCTTCCTGTGTGTTCTCCGTCTCTTTGCCCTGTATGGCGAGGGATATGGATTGCATCGGGATTTTTGCAGCAAAACTAAGTTCAACCTTGATAGTTTTGGCATTGTAAGATCGTCTGGCTCGCTTGCGCTCACCTTCACTGGGACTATCATTTCCATTGGGGCTGCCATTTCTGTAAAATCATAAATTAAATGACATCTATGTGACAGGCGGCACACGTGGAAAAAAAAATAAAAAAGATAAAAACATTAGAAACAAATTTACCTCTTTGAAGGCATATCATCAAGTATGACAGTGAACTCGTTGTTAATCTGAGGGAGCGGGCCAATCGTGAACAAAGTCTTTTCACCATCATAGACAAGCCCCTTCTTTCCGAGCTCTGTGTCATAAGTTTGTTGCATCTTATCTATCACCTTTCTGCCAATTCCCTTCCCATCCACAGGTCTATCATCTTCATATTTCAGGTTGACCTTCAATCAATTAAAAAGACAAACTTTCCTTTCAGCACTAAAAATTGAACCGTTTAACAAAATAAATACAAAAAAGCAAATTTCGCTACATACACTATAGTGAAAGAAGAAATCATCAACATTGCGGATAGAAACTTTGAAGTGATTGGTTAGAAGAGATATGGGTTGGCCTTTCTTAGCAAAACCAGGCCTTGCCATTGGTACCCTTTTTTTCTTCAGTTGCTCAGTAAGAGAGTGGTCATTCTGAACTTTAATAGGAGCTACGTTAGACGGTACAACTGGAGGAGGAAGAGGGAGTTCCATCCCCTCCTCTTTTGCAGAATTTCGAGCTTCCATTTCTCAAACTAATAATACTGGAAGAAAGATAGGACAAGCAAGTATAAGATGATTGGTGTATATATTCATAAAAGTAAGATATATAGAAAGATACACAATTTTCAAATTGCAAGCAATTCATTGTAGCTAAACAGAATCACTAATCCCAGCGAAAGATTAATAGCCAACTAAAAGAAGGGATGATAACAATGTTAAATTGACCAAACCTTGATATTAAAAAAAAAGAAAAAAAATGACTAACCACTGCTACAGATAAACTACAATAATCTTAAAAAGAGGAAAGAATAAAAAATTTTAGAGGCATATACGTGCGTACCACACAACTCTTATGTATTTACATATCTAGCACTTAAACATTCATATTTACAAGCATACCACTCAAGTTATAACATCACATAAAAAATACCAGCACAAGTATTTTTTTAAAAGTAAAATACACCTTTTTCTTCCATAGGATTATGACATTAAGGTGTGACAAGGGTAAATATCAAATTTTGGGTGTCAAACATGTAAATTGATAAAAATTGTAATGGCATGTATATAAATTTCCCAAAACTTCATTTCATCTTGAGACCAATAAATGAATATGCACAAACAACCTTAAATCACATAAAAGAGGTGCTAAATTAGTATCGCCTATATTGAGTAAGCAGTGTTTGAAAAATACATAGATACATCAGATATATTCGTTAAAAAATTCCTTACTATTATTAAGATAACAGGAGTGCAACTGAAAATCCCCCAACAAGAATTCACTTCCTATTGTATAGCCAGCCAATAAATAAATTTTATTATGACCCACAACCAAATACAAAGCTAGTACACTGTATGCCTAATAAATTGTATGGTAATTATATACAACTATCTTCCATTTCCTCAGTCCCTGGGGGTTGTTTGACATCACTTCTTTTACTGCAAGATTTAAATGTATACCACACAATTCTTATGCATTTACATATCTAACATCCAAACTTCAATTTTTACATACATATCACTCAATTCTTATGTATTTACAGTTCTAATATATACACTTCAATTTTTACATACATACCACTCAATTCTTATGTATTTGCATTTTTAAAATCTAAACTTCAATTTTTACATACATGTCGGCTTAATCATGCATCAACATGTATATTTTACATCTTAAAAGTTAAAATAGAGATATTATTGATGTGATATGAAAGATTTAGGCGGTGTAAATGTAAATAACAAAGTTTGTGTTAGATAGTAAATACATATGCATGGGGTGGTATATATGTAAATGACTCTTTCTTTTCTTTAGTTTTTAAAAATATGTTTGTTTCGTACATCTTTCACATGCTTTACCTACATACCACTCAATTCCTATGTATCTACATATCTAAAACATAAACTTAAACTTACATATATGCCACCTCATGGATGAAAAAGTTTATTTTGCTTTTTCAAAGTCAAAATAGCGATAATTTTGATGTGTTCTGAAAGATTTGGGTGGTATACATAAAAAAAAGGAAAGTTAATGTGCTAGGCATGTAAATACATAAAAATTGAGCGGTATTTTTGTAAAATGCACCTTTAAATTTTGTTATGAAAAACAAATCATTTGGATACAAACAAGTGGATTTATTCGCAACATAAACATGTATTATTTTAAATAAAAATATAAACAAAATAAAATAAAAATACAGAATCAAAAACAAATAAGAAAAGTGATTCCGGAGAACAACTTAGAAAAGAGGCATAGCAAGACCATCAGCTAAAACAAAGGGATGGCAAATAACGAAACATTGTTAAATATAGCAAAGTAGAATACCATCGTTGGCCAAGAAACATTGCCAATAAGATAATCCCAGCAAATCATATTACATTGCGATTTTGAGGCACAAGAATTAGGAACATCTGAGTTAAAAAGACAAAAAATAAGCAGCCCGCTTATCTCCCCAAAGCATCAAACAAATATGCAGGTTTAGGGTTTTTAGGGTTTAGGGTTTTGTATGTACCGTTCACGACGCCTCTACGATTAGGAAATGAAGCTCTTTTAAAACACAGAAAATCATATTTTTTGATATAAAAGGGGAAAACCTAATGTCCAAACTCTAATCTGCTGCTTCTAAAACCAAAAATACTCGAAGGAAAGTAAATTCAGGAATAAAAATTTTACAGAACGAAAAAGATGTGTAGATGCGGGCATCATTGAAGGGCAAAATGTACTGTCAATCATCTTCAGGTATCAACGGATGTCTGCTTGATAAACCACAAATATTAAAGCAAATGCAGTAACAGCCCACTTAAAAGTGCATAAAAAGAGCGATAAAAAGAGAAAATCAAAACATAAATAGGCTTTTAGCATGCATGAATGCAAAAGAAGACTTATGACGCATACAAACATGGGGAAAATCAAATCAAACACCGAGATCTTATCAACCTTGAAGCCTGCAGCACTATTTCAAGTTTAAATAACTGACCTAGAAATCTCGAACCCTTGCACTCAAAATCGATACACCCACGCTAACAACAAGAAAAATGTCAAAAACCTCTCCTAAACCCAAAGATCCAACATAAAATCCAAATCGCACCCTAAAATAAGAAAAACACATCGAGCGGAAAAGAAGCACAAACCCTAGAAAATGTTTAACAAAACCGCATGCAGATTCGCCCTAAAAGGTAGATCGAAGAAAAGACACCCGCTGCTTCCCACAAGCCACAAATCTGTAGCGGCCCGCCCTCTCTCCTACTCGAAATAAAACCGTAGGCGCCCTTTATTTAGCCACCCTAATGCGAAGCACACAAGCTTAACGTGAACCAGCGAGTTTGCATCATAATTCCATCAGTGAACTCAGATCCACCGTCCACTTCAGCAGAGGATCAAACAACGCCTAACCAGTCGCATAGAGATTTCGTGCGGATTGCTGCGCTTCGCCGCAATCTCTATACGGGCAGAGAAATTTTTCGGTGAATTTCTCAAAATAGATACTAGCCCTTTTGATCAGGATAGGATTTCGTTGTTTTTGAATTAACTCGGTTTCCCGGAGCCGTTAGATGAGTCAAATACGGCGTAATTCATGAAGCATATATGCTAACCTGTAATTTTGCAATTAAACCTTTAATTTTTACTTAATTAAGTTTATAAGCATTCTGGCATAATAGTAATTTTGTTGCTTCCCTTCGCGAGGAGTCGACTCGATTGTCCCA